GGAGGTTGTAGACGTATGTTATCTGCTGCCCAGTTGTATAAATCAGTGATTCTGAACCTTTGTCAGACCGCTGCCCCGTAGGTAAATTCTTTTTTCGATAAGACGAGGGCCCGGTATAATTGATGCCAAAGACCGGTGCAGGACCGCGGCCTGGCGGTTGAGAAACATTGGTCTAAATAACCAGTAGTATAACGTTTGAGTTTAGGCCGCGCCATAGCTCAAGCTGTTAGTCGTTGGCTTCCACCGCGACGACCCATTTTCGATCCTAGTTCTGGTCAAGTGGGATTTGTGGTGGACAAAGTGGCGCTGGGGCGCGTTTTCTCCGAGTATTTCTGTTTCCCTGCCTATATTCATTCCACAAAATTCTCCATCATCATAATCACCCGGGGCAGGCTACAATAGGCCAATAAGTGGCCGCCGTGCCGAGTGGGCCCAGTTGCACTCCACCCCCTGCTAAGCGAATTAAAAAAAATAAATAAAATGTTTGAGTTTAGAAAGGATTAACAAGTTGATTCTTCCATTGAATTAATCATTTGTACAACATCATATTCAATAACGAAAAGTAATATCTCTAAGCTGAAAGGATAATTTTTGGGCTCAATGAGTCTTCTCGCAATTGAACAGGAATTTTCACTTTAACAGAAACACCATGACATGCTTCCTTCTACCGCACTTGGACTTAACATCAAACATTAATTTTGGTACCTTATAACAGAATATTACTCCATTTACTTACTTATTTAACACTCGAAACTATATAACTCAATGCAGAACATTTCATTAGCAACATATGCATAACTTAGCGATTTTATGAGCAGGTAAATATCAGACGGTTGATTCCGAGTTAGGCGAAGTGTCTACAAGGTTCGAATTGTTGCTTCCTGCTTACCGCTCTACTACGCAGCAGGAAATCGGGCAATAAATCCTTCCATCCACAATTAAATAACCACTAATCCAGTAATGCAAACTGAACAACCGGAACAATTTCCTTCTTCATGCATCTGTCTTTGAAGTGCAGCTGTACGCTAGATGTCACTGCTATTGCTCCGCTGAAACGCAAAATCCCTTTCATTTTTTACAAGTGTCATCATCCGCAAGATGTAAAGCAACTGAAAAATCTTATGTAAAGATAAGGTAAAGCTATCCCTGTAACCTTCTTCCTACCTTCTGTTCTCCAACAGCCGGCCCCAAGCAATGGCTTCTAACAGCGGAGATTATTCAGCTTCTCGCGCTCACGTCACTATTCGGCGAATATCCCGCAGCTAAACCCTTGTCGACTGACAACCTAACTATTGCGTCATCTCTTCTCATCCTTCCTTCCAGAGCGAATCAGCTAACAACCCTCAACTGAACTTTCTCACTCACCGACCAACTACTTCACTTCACTTCACTCGAACTGACATGTGAACTGGTCTGAGTCAGAGTCAGAGTCAGAATTACTTCACAATTAGCGGTTTACCGTCAATCTATTCCTCTGGGAGCAGAGCCCCTTGAGCCTCACGACCAGAATATTTTTCGACTGAACCTTTGCGGTCATACTCCTTATGTAACACCCTCTCTGATGAGAGGATTGATCTGTCATTTACAATTGTTGCTGGTTCTTGCCAGAGCAGTCATTCTAGGGTCCGAAACTCCCCAGCCTGGAGGGCCAGGTCCCCATATTTATACCCACAGAAACAAGGTGGCCCAGTTATACTCCAAAGTCCTGGGTTCCCTTTTAGTCGCCTCCTAGGACTCACAGGAATGCGGTGGAGGTATTCGAAACCGCCACCACGCGGCACTGGCCTGTTGAAGTCAATGTCACATTGTGACTGACGGTCAGTCAGTCTGTCTGTCTTGGTGTCGAGCCCCGGCTGGGGCTCATGACAAGAATTTTTCCCCCTAATATTAAAGTTACTGTCCTGTCCATTTGGGGCGCCCTCTCTGACGAGAGGTCGGGTCTGTCATTTGTCAGTCATAGTCCGTATTAGTAAGTCCATTGTCAGTATTTACATATATTTACAAATTTAATCTTAATTCCTATTTCTATGTACAATATGTACAAAGCCTCTGTCAATCCAGGCTCGGTACAGCAGATTATGCCATATTTCTACCAGTATTCGCTACCACGGCAGTCTAGTCACTTGAACGGTCGTATGCCTGACCGCCGCCAAGTTCAAGTCTCTTATACTTTCTGTGTCGGGCTTCGCCTTGTCCGATGTTGCGAACATTCTCATTATCATGATTTTGTATGACTTCCGCTTGTTGCCTGCACACTTTTGTTACATAGTCATATACGTACGGGATTTTGAATGCCATGTGCAAATCGCGGACCGGTGTGCGACTTGGAAGATTGCCAATGGTGCGGAGAACCTTATTTTGCAGGCGTTGGAATTTCACTAGATGAGTGTCTGCCGCAAACTCCCAGGCGGGACTAGCATAGGTCATCACAGATCTAATGAGAGCTTTGTGGAGGGTCAGTTTAATGTTAGCGCTCAATGGCTTACTTTTGAATAGGGAATATACTCTGCACCGAGCCCTTCGTCTTCTTCTCCTTCTGATTATTATTAAGTTATTAATATTACGAAGAGGAAGGGCACAGCGCAATCGTTACTGGCCCTATTGTTGGTTCCCACGCTCCCCTAGATGGAGATGGGGTATCCAAGCTAGGAGGGGGAAGCTACACTCAGTCGTTGGCTTAGATAAAACAATTACAATTTCAATAAAAATATATATAACAATACATAAATAACAAACGACACATTTCGGGTCTATACCGGGTTCAGGTAAAGTTATTACTTTTGCTTCCTTCCAAGTATTTGGAAAATGAGAGAGCCGGAGACAGTGATTAAATAAATGAGTTAAGTGAACCAGTGGTCGCCTTGGAAGGTGCCTCAGGCGCTCATTTGGGATGCCGTCACTTCCACAGGCCTTTCTCAATTTCAAGGAATTAATCACTTTTTGTACGTCGCATGGTCTGATACTTTGAGGGGGTTTGTTGTCTACGGCTTCGAGCAGAGCTTGAACTCTAGCCTCCACTCGCCCTTCATGGTTATCTTCGCACAGATTGTGCGGCGTGAACTGTTTTTCTAAACAATCAGCAATTGCATTGGCTTTTTCGAATGGGTGAAATTTAAGGCCTGCAGTACCATGAAGAGCAGTTGGTGCCCTTGGTCCATCCCTCTTTAGGAGGGATTTCGCAGTTGTCCATATCCCCTGAGGTGTGACTCCAGCGTTACCTATTTTTTACCCACCTTTCAAGTTCCTTTTTTCGGAACATTTGCCTGATTGATTTTGTGACCTAATTTAGTGCCGTCTTACACGCTGGATCCCTGTTTTCTTGCCAACTTAATTGTCTTCAAAAATAACTCCTCCGCATTGACCACATAGGAAACATCTCCGTTTCCATTGTAACTGTGTTGTTTGCGTCTCGTTCCCGCGGGAACGTGTTTGCTAAGCCGTTGCCAAGCAGCACATAATCCTTCTCGCAACCGTCGTGTAGAAACAGTACCACACTACTACAATGTCCATTAACTATACTACAACATTTGTAGATTGTCTTAAACGACGAGTCTACCGTATAAGATTGACAAGATTAAGGAATAATTTTCGTAATATCTCCATTGATCTGTACGAGGTGCGCGATAGGACAGAGGAAAAGCAGAGTAACTGCCCGAAAAATTGTGTTTTGATGTTATCATATGTCCCGCTGTGGTCGTGCCTCCGTGAAGATTGTGCCGACGACGAGTAATTTGGTAGCCGACTGGAGTTAACTCAGGCACTTCTGCACCGGAGCTTTCTCAAAACTCATAGCTGAGCGGTCTCTCTTCTCTCACGGTCCATAAATTGTCACTCCACTCTTCCCTCCACAGTAAATGTCTGCCTTCCCATGAGGAACAGCATGGACTGAGAATCCTTTCAAAATCTGGGCCCGACGACTGGAGAGATGAGAGAAGCCTAGCAGTTAATTGAACATATTCTTAGTAATCGTTGCCACCACATGGTCCTCTCTCTTCGGGAGGGGGGGGGGCGGGTTCTACAATAAGCTGAAGTCACAGGGGCTGGCTATATACATACTTATCATTTTACACTGCTGAAATTGTTAATCCTAAGTACAGTTATATCCTCTTCGCTGTTTAACGCAAGCCTGAGTTCCTACACTGATCACATTCCGCTGTTGGTGGTACCCTGCATGGATCTGCTTGCAGAGAGGATTGTCGTGACGAGTGCGGTCGTGGTCCGTCCCATGGTTGCGGCATGTAGGCTGTAGACCTCTGCCGATGTACCTTCCTAGCTAATACAGCTTTCGGCGTCAACTGATTAGTACTTGCTGGCTACGTGCGCCGTAGTTCGAGCGTAGCCTACGGCCACTTGTCTAATTTCTACATTTTGGCATCTAACCTAGGCATTTATCCTCTGCGACCTCCAAGGTCGCAGTAACATATTAACAAGTTTCCGACTTGCAATATTGTGCCTAACTACATGACTCGACAACTACTTTGATTACGAGATTACATCTTGTTCATGTATACTCATACATCTTATATCGTCTATCTATCTATCTATCTATCTATCTATCTATCTATCTATCTATCTATCTATCTATCTATTCCTGTTTGTCTCAATTGGGGCATAGGGTATTCGTGCAACACTTCGTTCATCTTTAGTTTTTTAATTTTAGACACTCGATAAGACTCGTTGGATGGGGTATCAACCCGTCGCAAGGCAGCTACCTAACACACAGAACACAAACACAGAATAAACTCAGACAGATATCCATGTTTTGAGTGGGATTCGAACCTAGGATACCAGGGTTCGAACGGAAGAAAATATTTCATGCCTTAGACCGCGCGGCCACTGTGATCGACAAAAGCTCCATTAATAAGGATAAATTCGGAGAAAGTCTGAAAGAAAATTTTGATTATATTTCACGCGAATCTGTTTTGAGGATACGTGGTGGGCATTACACTTAGGAAACGAGTGTCCTCAGTGAGAGCAATAAATGTTTAAATCTGTTCCAGTGGCGGTAGTCGTGGCGTTCTTCATCTGTTGGGCGCCGTTCCATGCACAGCGCCTCCTGGCTGTTTATGGGGCTGGCAACCATGACGAGCGTCCCAGTGCAGCTATGATCATTGTGTACCACACGCTCACCTACATATCAGGCGTGCTGTACTACTTGTCTACTACTGTGAATCCAGTCCTTTACCACATCATGTCCCACAAATTCCGTGAAGCTTTCAAGGTATAAGCATAAAACGTTATTAGATGACATTTCCTTATTTAAAGATGATGTTTCATACATAAACATGTATTTTGAAGGAGAACATGACAAACAGGTGCACACGAATATCTTGAAATTCCTAGAAATATCAACAGCGAAACGAATTTCTGGGCTTAAGCCTGTTCCATTTGACAGGAGTATCTCCTGCTTCCGAATGAATACGCTAACAAAGAAGAACTCACTGTACATGTCCATGGTTTATGCTAACCGTCTTACAGTGTATACACTTTTCCACCTTATTCTTCACTTCCACACTACATGTTTCAGCACTCATGTGCCATCTTCAGGTGTCTTTATGCACGTTAAACTATTGTACTGCATGCCATGATGTCTTCATTCTAAAATGACTAAAATCTGTATTCGTCATATATGTCGATGAATTCTAAATAATAAAACTTTTCAGGATTCATCCTACGTCGCACTCAAACACGCGAATTACGCCAATCCTCTTTTATGTGAACATTCCTCCTACATACATTTGTGTATCGTGTTCTGTGTTGTGTTTTGCTCCTGTTACTGCATGCGTTGTACTGCTGTTGTACGTGCATAAAGACACCTGAAGATGGCACATGAGTGCTGAAACATGTAGTGTGGAAGTGAAGAATAAGGTGAAAAAGTGTATACACTGTAAGACGGTTAGCATAAACCATGGACATGAATCAATGTAACAGGACGCTAAAATATAACATCACTGTACATATTTTCAATGAATATTTAAGACTGTAAACATATCAGGCAATAAATGTCTCTCTTATTATATATTGTCACGTGTGACTTATAGCGAAGTTTTGGATTGAATGATCGGATTTATGGACACTCCGCTCGGAACTACAGGCAATTACAGTGCTGTCACTGTTCCAACACTTTTCAGGTACAGTACATAAACCTTTTGTACATGTATAATATACCCGATATAAAGTAACTCTTCTTTCATATCTCATCCGCTGATTTCTATAGCGGTAAAAGCAACTGACATGAGTGGAACTGGCAGACGTCCCGCGGCCGTCAAAAAGTGATATTGGAATGAAGGAAAAAGAACATTTTATTAACATTCCTTGAACTAGGTATAAAAATACCACATAACGAAGAGGGTAAGCGCGCCATTCTGTCCTCTTACATGTTTAATATTAAAAATAACCGGTTTATATTAAGTATGTTATTGGAGTTCAACATAATGTTTTATCGGACGTCTTATTTTGTTCTGGTTTTTAATTCAACCCCAACTTTTTCACGAAGTTTGTCAAATTTCTTGATATTATGATGTCAATATTACGAAATCTACTGGCCCCTGTTATTAAATTCTTAACCTTTATTTTGAAACTTTTATATTACATAAGCCTATACTTTATGAAATATAAGGAAATTGATTCATGTAGTGTAATATCTCCGATGATTTTCTTAGGTTTGAAACTGTCTTCGAGGAAAGTGGTTTTCCCGACCGACGAAGGCTGTTCTGCGGGATAGGAGTCCGAGCTGGTTTAGTGTAGTACGGTTGGGTTTGCTGTCAATCGGCTTGTCAACCTGTCAGCGGCAGATCCAAATTAGCAGCAAGTGGGCTTAAAAACCTGATGATATTTATAACATTATATAATGATAATCGAAAAATCTCACAGAAGGAGCCTGGAATTTTTTTTTCAAGCAGGAGCGACCCGTTACATTAATATCGCTTTGTATTATTTACTTACTTACTTACTTACGCATGGAGCTGAGCCCTTCTGGAGGAGCCGCCAATTCTGAAGATACTCAAGAACTTCCCAGAAATTTATGGAACCCGAAGGTTCATTACCGTGTTCACAAGAGCCCTCCACTGTTCCCGATCCTGAGCCAGATCAATCAAATCCATACCATCCCCTCCTATCTCTCTAAGATCCATTTTAATATTGTCCACCCCCTACGCCTTGGTCTTCCCAGTGGCCTCTTTCCTTTTGACTTCCCCACCAATATCCTATACACATTCCTCCTCTCCCCCATTCGTGGTACATGCCCTGCCCACTTCATACTCCTTGACTTGATCATTCTAATTATACTCGGAGAAGAGAACAAGTTATGAAGCTCCTCATTATGCAGTTTTCTCCAACCTCCTGTCACTTCATCTCTCTTCGGTCCAAATATTCTCCTCAACACCCTGTTCTCAAACACCCTCAATCTATGTTCCTCCCTTAATGTCAGAGACCAAGTTTCACACCCATACAGAACCACAGGCAAAATTATAGTTTTGTATATTCTAATTTTTATGTTTTTGGGCATCACACGAGAAGGCAAAATTTTCTGCACTCAATGGTAGCAAGCATTTGCCGAGTTCAATCTCCTCTTAATTTCTTCCTGAATCAGGTTTCGATCTGTTATCGTTGTTCCCAAAACGGGAGGGAAGGCCGGATCATTTGGACCCTGAGATCACGAGGTTTGACGCCCACAAATTTATCTTGTGGACTTGTTGTCAAAATGGCGTTCTTTATGTATAATGAGCAGGTTTCCGTCTTATTTGAACTCAAACAGCGGGTCACTGCCTCTGTTGAGAGAACTATTGCAGTTGTCTCTAGAGATACTGAGGTTCGGAATGTCTCAGCTTAATTACTAGTTAGACCTATGAGATATACTGAGAGGAACTTTAGAAGTTAACCTTCATTTGAGTCTTTCTGTTATTTAATATGTATGACAGTTAACAAAACGTGGCTTTCCAAATTCCAGGACAGACTTTCTGGACTCCTTGTATCGTATTTTTACAGGCTTGGGACTGTCAGGCTTAATTAAGTGTAGCCCACAGCAGATTGATTGGATAATTGTTGGAATAAAAATTGGTTTTAGTAAATTCAATACTTTTGTTTACATATAAGATATATTTGTAACAGGACCTTCGAGAATGATAAGTTACGTAAAAACTGCACTCACGAAAGTCGACATCATTTTCAAAGAGGGAACGTAATCCAGTAAAATTTCTTGTATTAAGTTTACTACTATGTTACTACAAACGCGTGTACTCCACCTTACAATAATTTGTGCACTCCTTTAAAGTTAGTGTTATTTAGGCCGTGCCATAGCTCAAGCGGTTAGTCGCTGGTTTCCCACCGCAGTGACCCGGGTTCGATCCCGGGTCTGGTCAAGTGGATTTGTGGTGGACAAAGTGGCGCTGGGGCAGGTTTTCTCCGAGTAATTCGGTTTCTCCTGCCAATCTTCATTCCACCAATTGCCTCACAATCACCCTCACATGTCATCTGGGACTGGTACAATAGGCCAGAAGTGGTCGCAGTACAAGGGGCTTAGTCCCACCCCACTAGCAATAAATAATAATAATAATAATAATTTCTGATAATTTTAATGTGAAAAAACTGTTTATGTTTTAAGGTAAGGTTGTCCGTGTGCCTTAAATACACTGTGCTCATGCGAGATGATATTCAGAAAACTTGTAAGAAATATTCCAAAATGAGTTGACTTTTTAAAATTACAAATCTCTGTTTCATGCAGATGCAAAATAATGTGGGATATATCACAATATTTACATTTCCAATCAATATAAGATATTATGCAACATTATAAAGCATGGAACTACAAGCGTTTCGTGTGCTTATTTTCATGTCACAGTTCACTCCTTTACGATAAATGATACACACTCCGTCCCAAGTGCAAACAATATATATTATATGTCTTTGATCTTGTTCTTTTCTACACTACATGTTTCGGCCTCTATCGGCCATCATCAGGTGTATATTCTTAACGTTGCTGCCACACTGAAACCCAGTCTAAAATTTAACATTTAAAAAACACATTGTTATTTTTGTCGTATTATCAACGTCTACCCCGTTGATATGTGTCTGGTATGTAGATTATATTACACACGTCAAATTTTCCTGTAGTAGCACTGTAAAATCTTTAGTTATGATTTTAAAATCCTTTAAAATTTTCTCTAAATTTTAAATTTAGAATTTAAAATTGTTAGGGTTACTCGCCCTATGTCTAAAGTGCTGGAGCGGCTAGTTCTTGTTCCACACTGTACAGGTGTTATCTGTAATATACAAATATTCGTATTATTATTTTACGTACGTAATATTTTCTTTTGTGTTTATTTTGTTATTTGTACTTACTCTGTGTGGTCTTCCTGTGTGCGTGCCGCTGCTTGTCTTTACTACGTGTGCTGTCTGATGTATTGTGTGCTGTGTTTTATGTTAGTGAGTGTAGGGGGGAATGGGTAGTGGGGAGAGAGAGGTACCGTTAGTCTGTGTAGATTTCGTGTATCGTTTGAAATATGGGTACTCAAATCACATACTAAATACAGGACATGCATACGGAACAATAACACAGGTAATGGAAGTCGTAACAACGGGAAGGAAGGGCAGACATTTGAATACATTAGAGAAATACCATATATATAAAATAAGTAAGAAAGGCCTACAAATGAATGATACACACATAGAAACACACAATCCCATATTTCAAACGATACACGAAATCTACACAGACTAACGGTAACTCTCTCTCCCCACTACCCTTTCCCCCCCTACACTCACTAACATAAAACACAGCACACAATACATCAGACAGCACACGTAGTAAAGACAAGCAGCGGCACGCACACAGGAAGACCACACAGAGTAAGTACAAATAACAAAATAAACACAAAAGAAAATATTACGTACGTAAAATAATAATACGAATATTTGTATATTACAGATAACACCTGTACAGTGTGGAACAAGAACTAGCCGCTCCAGCACTTTAGACATAGGGCGAGTAACCCTAACAATTTTAAATTCTAAATTTAAAATTTAGAGAAAATTTTAAAGGATTTTAAAATCATAACTAAAGATTTTATAGTGCTACTACAGGAAAATTTGACGTGTGTAATATAATCTACATACCAGACACATATCAACGAGGTAGATGTTGATAATACGACAAAAATAACAATGTGTTTTTTAAATGTTAAATTTTAGACTGGGTTTCAGTGTGGCAGCAACGTTAAGAGTATACACCTGATGATGGCCGATAGAGGCCGAAACATGTAGTGTAGAAAAGAACAAGATCAAAGACATATAATATATATTGTTTGCACTTGGGACGGAGTGTGTATCATTTATCGTATAGAGTGCAACAGGATGCTGAGATATAATATCACTCCTTTAGTTACTTAGACTGGAGTACAATACTTAACAACGTGTATTAAAATTTATGGTAACTGAGATATTTGGATACAACTTAGAAGTTTCATCCGACCCTTCATCTTCATTTTTCCCTACTGAAATATGGGAATGTTTTCAATTAATTTTAAAAGAAATTCGTTTTATTCTCATAAATCCAATTTAAATATATAAGTGTTTTCAATTTTAATTTTCTCCCATCGGTTCTTCTACCTATTCTCACATTAATTTGGAATAAGAATTTCGGAAACTAATATAATTTCTGGAAATTTGGTCAATTTATATAGCAGATTATTGTACTTGATATTCACTAAATATTAAGCAAGCATCCTATATTATATTAATAATATGAAATTGCAATAAATGATATATACTTCGGGTTTGGACCACATGTAAGACAGAAAATCGAATTTGACATCATATCTGACTGTATCTGACTCGTATAAAATGAAAATTACGTAGCAATTCAGATTGATGTCTACATTAGAATTTTTGGAAATTTTAGTTTGATATGTTAAGGTAACACAGGGTGATCCTACTTGCCCGCAGGACACACTGGCGCGCTACCTGGGCAGACGACGGGCGCGAGGAGGTAGGTGGCAGTGCTACACGGTTCTCTCCGGCAGACACAGTAACACCAGTAATGCCAGCAACTGCGGCACCGGCAGCCTGCGTCGCTACCTGGAAGCTGACATGGCGCGTCTGCACGCGTCCCGACGCCCTATCGTCGTTTCTTTCCGGCGTCACCATTCACAGCAACAAGACAGCACGGTGGACTCAGAGTTATCGGGGGCGTCCACGTCTACAGGACCAGAGGTTTATGTTAGCATGGAGGAACTCACTAAGAACAACTCGCGCAAGAGTATCAAACTGAAGAAAGCGAGAAACAAGTTGAATGAGACGTACTTGAACGTAATTTGCAGACATTCCAAACCAACTTCGACGGACGTTAGAGACAAGACAGTAAAGGAATTAAGTGAGAAGGGGGGTGCTTGTTCGGGATTTGCATTCTCCTCCAGTTCTACTTTGCCTTATAGTTTAAGTCTTGACAATCAGACAGAAGATTTTCTGGTACCACCTTGGTATGTTGACAACGAAAGTGACATAAACCTTCCATGGCTTCCCACAGATATTAATAATAGAATATCAAAGGAAGTCTCACCGATAAAGTCAAGCACAGAAAATTTAAGTAGTAATAATAATAAAACCTCAAGGACTTTTGAGAAGCCAACAAAATATCCCAAGGTTGAAGATATTGAAATATTTCAGGAACAACACTTGAAAATTCAAAGGTCTTTCAAGAAAAGGCAGAGGAATTCAAGACATCGCTCAAGAACACAAAAAGAGACTACTGCATCGTCCAGTAGTATTGAACATCACTTCAGAAATTCAAGTCAAAGATTGGATGTTAAGTTAGAAGAAATTCGGAATCACACAGCGAATATAATAATTGGAGTACCACAGTTCACTTTCTCTCGTTCCTCAACACTTCCCGCCCTCCATACTCTATCCAAGGACAGGCAGACGCATTTCAGTGACACCGACGCACAAGCTCAGCGTCTAAGACACTCACTTTTCTTACATACCAGTTACGATAATCTAAATCAAGGTCAGCTTGCTCGTGAAGGTAGTAAATTCATGTTGTCAATGCAATTATCCGAAAGATTCATTCGTAAAAAATGCTTGGACCCAGACATTCTGGCTAGTAAAGTTATTTTCAAAGCGGCATCATATGTAAAGACTGGTGTTGCAAGTCTTGCAGAACAAACGCAAAGTTTATCGGATGTAAATGAATCTTCAGTAAGCATGTTGTACACATCTGCCAATGACACCCATGGTACAGAATCGCTGCTTGTAAAACAGACGAAGATCTTACGAAAAGAAGATGAAAATGACACAGTTCAACTCCCACATTCTCAAATCCTCAACGTCGAGGAAGAAATCATTAAGAAGAAAGCCGAAGATTGTTCTCTCTCGAAGGACAAAGAGGAACAAAACGAAATTAAGGAAGAGGATCTTTCCCTCTTACATAAAAATGAAAGTTTGCCGGTATAAATTTTATCTCACGGCACTGATGGAGAATGTGACATTCACAATACAACTCCTGTCTGTACTAAGAACACAGACATAAGGAGGAATGTCTAGAATACATGTCAAACACGAAAGTGTACAGTTTGTTGTTTCATTTCAGTTGTTAAATTCCAGACCTAAATCATACACTAACCTGAAATTGTTAACCTGTGTGTCAGCGAGACAGAACTGCAAGATGTTCAGATCCGCCATATTTTCTTCCAGTCCTCTACTGGCTATATGCGACCTGGCCTTGAAATTTTGTTCCAATTGCTACTGGAAGATTAAGATAATAATGTCAGTATGTAGGTGTAGTGATACCTAACCTAAGTGTCTACTATCACCTGATGGTAATTTCAACTTAAATTATTTCGCTGTGATCATTTGTCTATATGTTGCAACACTGGACTGTGTTTTTTTTAAAGAAATTGTGTGAAACAGACTTGATGAAGGCCCCGTCTATGGCAGGCGAGCGCTGCGGCTGCGCAAGTGGATTTTGAACACAGGTACAGTAACATGTGCAAGGAAAATGACTCACTAGTCGCGAAGAATGGAAGCTTATATGCCAACAGTTTTAACACTGCACTGTATAAGCCTCAAGACTGAGGCTGACAACTGCAAATCAAGTATCCACTTACATGACTGGAAGTCAGAAATGTGAAACTCCAGCTGTAAGCAGTGTCCCTACACAGTTTCTAATATTTTCAGAGATTTATATATTTAACGTATTTCCATATTTCTACATTTAAAAACATATAAAACTAACGACTATTTTTTTTAAAACTTAATCAATATAATGATAATGCAGTTATTTCTGTTTCGGCAAAAAGAAAATTGGTTACCACAGCAGAATTGTGTGAATATGTCCCTAATGCAGCTGCTGATATTTCCACTGTAACGTGAATTCCTTTGCTTTATGTGTTTCGTTTGCCTTGTATGTCCATTTTGTACTATGTCAAAGATGCTAATTAACAGAATAGGTAACTTACTTGCTGCTTAGACTAATTACCAGTAAAGTAATACAGTGGACTGGACAACTATTAAAGATCAATTGTGGACAAAGTAATTAAATTTGTAGAAGTTATATTGTATAGAGACATGCGTTAACTTTCTCTCATGCTTTGTTGAATAGACATAAACAGATGTCAGCACGGTATTCCATTTTGTATTATGTACATGATTCGTTGTTTTGGGAGAAGATGTATTCTTCCTTCTAGGAAGTAATTTTGAAGTAAATTGTGATGTGCACAAATACAGATTAATCACTTAACATGATTCTTGACAAAATCTAATGTTTGCTAGTCCATTCAATTTTAAAATATTTAGCATGAACACGATTTCGTCCTATTCTGTACAAGAAATTCAATTATATGAATGCAGTGTTTTTTCAGAAAATTTCCTTGACTTCCAAAGAAATCTTTTAGCTTTTGAAAGGAAATATATTTGAAACAATATTCTATGGCACGCCAATTTTCAATTTTGGTTGAATTCTTCCAAAAATGGAGATGAGATTTACAAAAAAGTATAAGATGCTCTGAACTATAAGAAAACAAATATGATATATGTTTTAGATACTTAATGTTACTTAATATTATAGTAGTTCAGTAAAATTTACAGGGAAAATACTCCATATATTCTTGGTTTATATAAAGACGCTTTCAGTGGCTCAGATTATCGGTGTATGTTGTCCAAACTCAGGACTATTACTGACTAATTACGACTAGTGGAATAGATGTGGTTGTGGTATAATTTAAGGTTCTATGTCACAATTTCCTTGGAGGGACTGAGAAAAATTATTATTACTCTCTCAGAACACTCGGGTTTCTGACAGAGGTATGAACACGCTTCCATCCTAACAATAAGCACTGTTACTCCTCATTACTGTGATATCCGCCGGCAGCTCCATGTGATCATATGTCTGGATCGGCCACATCACAAGACGCTATATTCCAATACCTTCACGACGAATAACGAAATTAAAAAGTGTATTTTCTTTTCTTTATTGTTAGTGGGGTGGGACTAAGTCCCTTGTACTGCGGCCACTTCTGGCCTATTGTGCCAGCACCAGATGATAGGTGAGGGTGATTGTGGAGCAATTGGTGGAATGAAGATTGGCAGGGGAAACCGAAGTACTCGGAGAAATCCAACATGACCAGACCCGGGATCGAACCTTGGCGGCCGCGGTAAGAAGCCAGCGACTAACCGCTTGAGCTATAGCGCTGTAAAATTAAAAAATAACTTAGGTATCCAAAAGCGGCCTCCGTAGTCTAGGGGTAATGTTCCCACCTCATGACTCAAGGTACGCGGGTTCAAAACCGGCGGAGGTCGTGGAATTTTTAAGGGCAGAAAAATTCAGGGAACAAGTCCTCCGGGAGGGACTTTAAGCCGTGGGTCCTCATGTCTCTAGGAGACCTCTGTGAAAAATTAGGCAAGGTTTCCCGCCCAAGTAGTTTCCGATGCCTCCGGTAGATGGGGAAGTATCGGGAGCCACTGCCAACTGGCTGAACGGGGCTGATAGCGAGCACCAGTACCAGCAGGGTATGGCGACTGCTAGAATATCAAAGGGGGACGTACAATAGACTATTAGTCGCGGTGCATTGGGAAACCCACCCACTCCAATAATAATAATAATAATAATAATAATAATAATAATAATAATAGGTATCCAAATCGTACGGTGCTAATAAGTTAGAAACTCACACTGGGGGAGATAATTGCTGAAGACTGATAGTTTCATAAATTTTCAATCGCAGATGAACACTAGTGCACTAAAACGTTATGTTCACTCTTCTTCTACTTCCATTCATAACCAATTCTGAAAATGTGGATCTTATATATAGTCATGAGAACTCCTTGGACGGGGGATCAGCTCTGTGCAAGACCGCTATAATTGTTTGTGCTATATTCCTTTTCTGGCGAGGGAAATACTCTGTGGACAAAAGTCTTCAAAGCCTGCCTTTTTCCGTTTTTTAAATTGTTCAATACCTCTCTGCTCTACGCTGTGGCAAAATGTTACAGCAGAAAATACATGGGCTATGCTATTCCAAAATTGTGAACATGGATAATTATTTGTAAAATATTCATGTCCAGTTCAAAGTACTATCCCCTCATTCATCTGATAGAACTGAGGGAAATTTCGGAAAGTATCAGTTAAAATAACCGATGGACTCGAACGAGATTCTAATTGGATTTTCCAGAATATAACCGCTATTCCAGCCTGCAGCTCACCTTCCTACACCTATTATAGAGAACTGTCATTTCATCTACTTATCTTGTGGTGTGTCCTACTGCCAATGCCGCTGCATCTACACACGACTCGTGCGTTCTAATACGCTAGCTTTTCCTGCCTAATTGAAACTTGTATGAAGTTATGAAGTTGAGTAAATCTTCACTAATCCTTCCCTTCTTGTAGTAGAACAATTTTGTCCTGTGTATGAGAGCACAGCAGTCCTGTGTTTCCCTGTGGTTGTCATCTTCCTCGCCCTTCGGAGATATGAGCTCAGATGTTACGAGCACTTCCTGTAAAATAATTTCGTTATGTAGCTTCAGGCTTGAGTACGTAACGAGATTCTCGAGAAAGTCTTCACAGGACCCGTGTCAGTAGAAGTGAAATAATTTCAATGGGCTAAGAGGCATTGTAATAAGGATATATGATGCGATGAAGGCGTCAGATTATTTTGAATTGCCTCTTACGGAACTCGAAGTTTCTTTTTCGTGTTCACAAGACCCCGTCACCCGTCCCTACCTTGAGCCAGACCAAGCAAATTAATAATTCAAGCACACTTTTTCTCTAGGCTGTATTTTAATATTTTCCCTTCAACCAAGCTTAAGTCTCGGAAGCGATTTCCCTCCTTCCGATTTCGGAACTGAAATCTTCCCATTCGTAGCACAAGCGCCGTCCAACTCATCCGCCTTTTTTCAGTTTATTTGCAATATGTAGAGACCAAATTAATTTACCCTTCTTCCACTGCCTGTTTCTTAAGACAAAAATTCTTCTCAGTACTTTTTATCAAGTACTGTCAATCGCTGTTCTTCCCTGAGGATGAGAGACCAAGTTGCGCAACCGAACAAAACAAGTAAAGCCATAACTCAAGTAGTTAGTAATAGGCTTCCTACCGTGGTGGCCCGGGTTTGAGCACAGGTTAGTTCATGAGAGGGCAGGTTTTCTCCGAGTACTTCTGTTTTCTCTACCAATTATCATTCCACCAATCGCTCCACACGCATCGTCTGTTATCCGGGACGGGTATAATAGACCAATTAGTGGCCGACAAATCAAGTGTACTCAGACTAGTTCCCCCTCCAGAAACTTTATTTTTTTAATAATACATGATCAGCAATCAGAATACAGTGCATTCTATAAGCTAATGTGTTGATCCGTGCTAGGTATCCTAGCTACAGCTGAGGTGTGTTGAAGTTAACGTCCAGCGATGTTACCTCAGAGTTTTCAATTATTATCTGTTGGCCACTGTCTCTTAAGGCTCCTGTTAACTGGTTGTAGTATTTGGCTGAGTAGTGGATTTGGGTGATCTTCTATGTTTTGTATGTGCCTGGCAGTTTTTGTTTTGACGACTTCTTGGATTGTAGGCATACGGACGTCATTGTGAAGTGTGTAATTGGTTATGTACCGTGGGGCGTTCACTGTTTGTCGGAGTATTTTTGACTGCTGTCTCTGTCTGATGGCTGTGTTGGATTTACTGGCACATCCCATAGTTCAATGCCGTACGTCCATATTGGTTTGATGATAGTTTTGTAAATTAGGATCTTGTTTTCCATTGTCAGTTTTGACTTCCTGCCAATTAGCCAGTTTAATTCTTTGTTTTTCATTACTATCTGGTTTTTCTTTTTTTGGATATGCTCTCTCCAGTTTAGTTTATTATCCAGGTGTAACCCTAGGTACTTAGCTGTGCTCTTTTGCGGTATTACGATGTTGATGACTCGCACTGTTGGACTGTCCCCATGCTCCAATCGAAATATTACATGCGTTGATTTAGCCTCATTTACTTTAACCCTCCATTTGTGCATCCATTGTTGAAGTTGACTGAGGTGTTCTTGTATGTAGGATGCTGCTGTTGAAATTCCTTGGTGACTTGCAAATATAGCTGTATCGTCGGCGAATGTCCCCATTATAAGTAGTTACTATAGGATTCTGACGATGGTGTATAACACAGTGATATGTTGGTTTTTGGACTATATCCATCGTCCTGGTTTTTAAGATAAATAAAAACACGACGTTTCGGAAACTGGATCTGTTTCCGTCCTCAGGTGAAGGAAAATACCTATTCAGTTGGGTCCGTTAGAAAGAGCTAGCCTCAATCACTGGTCCACTGGTCCAAAAACCCAACATATCAGTCCCCATTATAGTTCCAGAAACTAAAAATTAAACTAACTAAAGAAAGCTGTGTTTGCATATGCTTCGCCTTGAAGCCTTTATCAGTAGATAGGAGATCCTTCTTGTGCTAATCTTCTCTCCTTTCTAACTGCACAGGACAGAGTCGTTCTTTCTCGAGAAAATACTAGTCATTCAGCTACTGTTGTGTCCCCGTTGATTGTTTCAATACCGCGTTCTCGAGGCCCTGTCCTCACTCGCCTTACACATGTATACAGTATTGTTTTATACGGATATCTCTTCCACGTCGAAATGTGTTGTTCTTTCCCATTATTTATCATTTTAAGTTTTTAAATGATCATTTAAATACCACAGTCCTATCGAATCATGAGATGCATTTTGATTTACATTTAAATTCTTCTAATTTACAGATAAATCTACGAAACGGACTCCTATCAGCTCAGTGATCCTGAGCTTGTGACACGAACTTGGAGAAATATCGGTACTGTGGGACTGAAACCCTGGAGGCTGGAAGGCAATTCGGTTTGCATAAATCTTTATAATTTTTATACTCCGTTTGCTTGAAAATAGTTAAATAGTTGTGTTTAGATAGCTCAGTCGGTATAAAGACGGACTACTTGATGGATAGCAGAGGAATTTGGATTAAATTCCCGGAAAGAAAAAAGGTTTCTCTCTTCTCGACAAAATCTAGTGTAGCCCTGCAGCCCACTCAACCTCCTACGGGGATATTTACCAGCGGGTGAAACTGACGACTCACTTTCATCTAGTGCTGAAGCCAAGAGTGATGGAGCTATACCTCCACTCTCCCCTAACGTTATCATGGCGTAGTGCTTAATTAATTAAGCACAGGGAAAGCTACAGAGGTCCCTTCGTAAGTAAATGGTAATGATCTATTTGATCATGTGTCGAAGCATGGAAGCTCAAGTGTTATGGCGTGGAAGTGAAATAGTCAGCTTCACGCTCCGGCAATTTTATTATCTTTGAAAGATTTTCCGGTACCAGTTACATATGGGAATGAATGATTTCGGATGCCGGTCTGGACAAGGTTACGAGTACAAAAATCCAAACACTCTTAAGACAGCGAAGCCGACTGGTGCAGTTAGTGGCTGATCACTGCATTGGTCAGGCTAACATTAAGCTCGTTATAAGGGTTAGGAAGAGTAATTCATGCAATCCGGCAAAATGACAGGACTGGAAATGCCAGTAATTTAGTTCCCATGCTTTTCAAGCCAGTCATATAAAAACCAAAATCAGTTTCATTCGGTCTCCTAAGTCGAAATGTCTGACCTGCATTGGTTCGATTCATTTACAATTTTATATATTCTACTGGATTAGATCTCGCAAAGTTTTGTCTTTATTTTTACGTCTTCTTTGTTTCCAGTTTACTAAACTGGCTCAAGACGTTGCCTCTCAGACTATCATAGTTGCTTCGGTCTCGAGTC